GATAGAACAATATAAGCAATCTCCAAACTAAAACATGTGATCAACGCTAGAAAGACGGTCAGTTTTTCCCATAGTTTATTAAGAGTTGAATCATCACGCTTGCTCTCGTCCATCACAATTCGAACATTACTAGTAATGAAAAGTACAAAAACATCGGCCAATAACATTGAAGAATGACGAAGACGCGAAGTTTCATTCATAAGAGTAAACAAGATCGGTAAACTGCTGATTCCTACCACTTTCCAAAGACAGAGTTGCACTAAAACGGAACTATCAAAATCATCATCTTCTTCTTCGCGTCTTAAATAGATCGAAGAACCATACAGAAAAGTCACTATGACACACAATGAGAGAAGCATGCCAAGTAACAAACCAGTGTGTTGAAATATGAGAAGGAAAACTAAAACTTCGATACATTCGCTGATTAGAGAAAACACAAGTTGCATTAATGGATTCGTGGCCAATAACCGAATTGTCATAAAAGTGTTCATCACGAGAAACGTTATAAAAAAATATCCAGTTTTCTTCGGATACAACAATCTATCATCTGATGTAATCGCAAAAACAGCATAATATTCGACCAAATTCAAAATGTCTATCGTGATGCCCATTAGGGCTGTTAAACGATTACGTGCGTTGCTCCACATCATATCCAATAGATCAAAATGATAAAAGCATCGATGAATAAACGAGACAGGCGGTAAAAGCAAAGAATCAATGTCCCCATGAAGTTAGATAATAAAAATGTTATTGCCAATAAAGATAAGCCTTATCAACAGACTTGTTATTGTAATGTTGGAATAAACTTGCAAGAGAACAATGTAAGCATGTAAAAAAAAAAATCTTTTCCATCGTTTCTTACTTACTGCAGTCTTTCGCAGTGTTTTCCTAATTCTTCAATTCGTTGCTTCAAAATAAACTTCTTGTTTGAATTGTTGGTCACTATTTAAATGATACTTAATCATTTACGTTATGTGTAATGCGACGGCTTTGGCACGGGTGTGAGTTTTAGGGATGATCAACACCCACACCCTTCTCAAATTGGCTCACACGCTTATATTGTATAGAACAGTGTAACTCTCATGTAAAATCATGTGCTTGATGTTGATCAAATATCAATTGCAGTAAACCAAATCTTTGAAAACAATGTAAAATCTTTCTTTTTTTTGATTTATTACTATACACTGATCAAAAGTATATTTTCACTATCGTTGTCTCGATAATAGAAAAGAAACAAAGCATCTAAAGCGAGTTACATACATATTCAAAGCAAACCGATGAATAACCACCTCTGCGTAACTAGATTGCATCTTGATCAAATCCAATTGATACTCATACGAGACGAATTGACAGAGAAAAAACATTGCGAGAGCGAATTATAGTAACAAGGAGTGTATTAGAAAAGTGATAATTGAAGGATCGTGCTTTTATTGTTTTCTATTCCTAAACTGATGGTCACTTATTTAAAAATTCAAAATAACTATGATAATTCGTGCTGAGAAAATAATCAAGTATCGAAAATTTGACAGTAGAACGAATGTATAGCTCGAAATTCTATCGACGGATCCTATCTTTTAAAATTTGGTATCACTAAAAGTATTGATGTGGATTTTTTCGCAAGCAAATGCACTCTCATTTCTTTTGATTTGTATAGAGGAGTCATAATGATGGACCATAACATAAATCGATTCAACTATGTACTTGATCGAACGATTAACATTGACCTTGTTCTGGCATCATGTGGCTTTGACAACTTTTGTTCAAATTTTTCTCTAGAATGACATCGATACTTTTTGTGAAACACGATCTGAAAGGAGTGTTGAAGTGTTTAGGGGTAGAAATTTGGACCCACCCCCCCCCCCCCCCCCCCCGCACCGGAACGAAACAGCGCGCAGACCGCACCCACGCCGCCAGGGCTAAC